ATAAAATAAATAAAAAACTGTATCTGCAGTTGGACATGGGCATTAAATTTGTTAAAAGTGGCATTAAAAAGGGCATTAAAAAGCATTAAATTAGATTTGCTGATACCTGCAGAAACCCTGATGATTTTAATCATGATTCTGAATTAAATGTCAGGCTTTTTACCTCCTTTGATACCAAAAGAGATAAATTAGATTAGATCATGGATGTCATTCAAATTAGATGACTGTCAAATATTTGTAAGCCGGGTGTTCATTATTACTTTATGTTAAAATATTCCTTTTTGTTTGCAGTGAGGAAGATGCAGCCCAAGTTGATGTGATGAAGATGTTTCCTGATCTCTTTGGATGTGTTTACAAGTTTGCCAAGACCCGAGGGTGGAATTCAGAGACACCCTTAAAGCAAATGTTTCAAAGAGAAGACATCACCACCAGCTTCACAAAGCTGTCCATAAGTCCTGAGGAGCACCTGACTGTCCCAGTTCAAGAGTCTCTTCCCAGTGACTTGAAGTTAAGTTGAAATCAAAAAAGATCAAGGACTTCAAATGACTTTAGAGTCTTATTAACAGTCAAAGCTTTGTATTAACAACAAGCAGTTCTGATGTCATATGGTCCTTTTTGACAGTTATAGTGTATCGCCCATATGTCAAGGTTTTAGCAGCACAGGGCAACAAGACTGCACAAAAAACAAGTGCCATGGATCTTTTTCACACCTGACATTATCAGACTCATAAAAGGAAAAGCACAGTTGTAACAAATAACATTAACAAAGGCTGCCCTCTGTTGAAGTGTCCCAGTAAGCCACGACAATGTGACCAACACCAGGACCCTGAAACTGAAGCAGCTGAATGGAACTCAGCCATCATTCACTTTTTTTATTTACACCTGTGCTTTTTCTGCTGTGACGTGTCAAAATGTCTTCTGTGAAATAAGCCTGTAAGGTTTTGCATATCTATTGTACATAGTAACTATTTTCCAAAGGTTATAAGATACTGTGCAGTCGTTTAGTTTTAAGAGACTTTCTTTTTACTTTTGACTTATTTTGAGGAATTGTTCTTGACCATTAATATTATTATTACTATTATTATAATGTTTGACTTTTTTTGTTTAGATTTTACTGCTGATATATTTTACCACTATAGTTATGTTTAACATTTTACAGTTTAATGTTCTTTTATTCTTGCATATTTCCGTCATATTGCTACATTATATGGGGGTGGAAGAAAAGGAAATTTAATGAATTACAGTATCATATTTTATGTTGATTTCTTAAATAACAAATAATAATAATAACAAATAACTGCTGGTACAGATAGTGTTTTGTGTCATTGTAGTTTCTTGAGCTGTTCTTGACTGTCCCATTGGCCTTGTCCCATTACCTGCTGTCATGGCGTCTTAGAAGTACCACTGTTTCAGAAAGATTGTAAAAGGAACAATGAATGTTGAATGACAAGCTAAAAAATGTGTGTAAAACAAGGGCTGCAATTCCACTCCCTGTTTATCAAACAAATCTAAACAGATCGTTGCACTGACTTCAGTTAAAGATTAAAAATTGTAATAGAATATACAAGCTTTTGTATGATTTTTTCTTTGTTTACAATTACTGTTACTCTCAAAATATACTGTAAATCTAACCATTTGATTATCAAAATAAATGTGTAAAGGTATGATTGTAACAAGTGTTTTATCGTTCATTGATCATTATGATATAGTGGGGAATTTCTTTACTGCACCCATCAATATGTTTATGTTGATGTATCCAAGTATGTTAATGTGAAAGCGGTCACACATAATGACGAACCCACAGTAAATTCAAATGACTGCAGTCCCTCTCAGTTCTAATGAGCATTCAAGCGTCTTTCAGCTTTTTGTTTTGTTTTTTCTTTTGTTTTGCATCAGTTTCCACTCTCATCAACTCTGCCTGTTGAGATATTTTCAGTGAAAAAGCTCCACAAAGCCACCGTACACAGCTTGTCCAGCATTTATAGATACACTCAATGTGACATCACTGTGCTCACTGTTGTACAGAGCTCATTTGCCACAATGCAAATCAAATGCAAAAAAAAAAGCATAAATCAACAGGTCTATGGTCAGGCAGGGTGTGTTTGTGGCGATCAAGATGGCACCTTTCTCCACTGATGTTTCACTGAGTTGACCACCTCTCAAAGGCACAATGTTGTTCAACTTCACTCCCACTGAAATCAACCCCAGTCCTACATTACCACCATAATATTAAACACAGTGCTACTTTATACACTAACATCAGATGTGCATGTCTTTATTAGAGTTACATGCTCCAGTATTAAACAGCTGATACCCTGCCAAGTTCAGCAGACTTCATATTCACATTGTATGTGCTGAGTTTGACTGTGTTGGTTTGACTAACAGTTTCATCAGAATGTCACATCCACCATCATAAACTAATATAGATTAAAGCTTCACCAATAAGGAGGAGTATGGTGTGTAACTGAGACACCATATTCCCTCAGGAAATTTTGAGCATAAGCCACTTCATTTCCAGCATTCTGGTGAGGTTTTATGCACCAATTTATGCTGGAAATATCTTTATTTATGTGATGTAGGAACCAAGTAAGTCATTTCACTCAGCAGACATTGGTTGTATTTACTATGTATATACACTGGGTGGTGCTGTTTTGGTATTTTGAGCTTGCTGTATAAAGGTAGGAAGGACATTGTTGCTGTCAGGTGTTTTGACTCTGGTCTTTATCTTTCATCCTGGTTTGGATGAAAGATAAAGAAATTGACATTTACTCATCCTATGTTTGCTGGTATGAATACATTCGATGGTTGTTCTGTAACTGGAGCCTGCAGCTCGTTTTCTGAGCGCAACACACCAAGGAAGCCGTGGCATCAACCAAGGCAAGCGTGTCAGCCAGGTCAGGCCTGTTGATACATCTCAGTAGCTGCAAGTAATAGACTTAGCTCCTACATGTAAAGCAAAGCATTCAGGCAATGCAATTCAAAATATAAGATAGGGTATAGAATATAATACAGTAAGGCTCTCAGACATTCTGTCTCCTGCAGATCAGCTTTTCTTATTTAATGTTATCTCTGCTGAGTCAACACGTGAAGGCTTAGTTTACTTTTCCAACCTACTTTGTGTCTTTCATCTGGGAACAACCTCTTTAGATATGCAAGTGGCACTTATTCACATCAATGATTAATTAATCCATTTTAATTAATTTAAAAAAACTGGACTTGAATAGCTCACAGGTGTTTCAGCAAGATTTCTGTTCATGTTAAAAACTTTGTGTACATTCAAAACATAGCTCACATATCTCCACATCTGTATACTTGTACTTGAGACATAAACCCTGTCCCACTACATTTACCTAACAGCATGTTACTGGTTATGTTGCAGATTCAGATTATAACTCACAAAATGTAACAATTAAAACACAATGCATGATTATTTAATAAACTTTCCAGCAGTTATATAAGACTTAAAAGCTCCACCTTGAACAGACTTTATGGTCAGGTTAAATCAAACTCAGGTTCGTTTGCCCCCTGAGTGCAGTTCGTTTGGGCAGGTGTGTACACAGCAATCGCACCATGTGCACCAAAACAACCGGACTGAGACCTTATTGAAGAGGTGGTCTCGGTCCAGTTACAAACAAACTCTGGTGCGGTTTGAGAACGTGTTCCAACCTTGATCTGAACCAACTGCAGTCACATGACACATTGTTTGGGTTAAACATGAGCATGTCTTAAGGATTATTAATGTGCACCTCCTCCTGTACTGTCTTAATATGCACATTCAGCACATCCAATGCATCACAACATTGTTTTCTAGTTGGAGCCGCGCCTCGTTTTCAAACTGTATGGTTTGACTAAAATGAACAATGACAGCAATATAGTCCACGATAAGCAGCACTAAAATCAACCTGTGTAGTTGTCCCTCCATTGTGACAATAGAAAGTGTCACATTTATCTTGCAAGTGTACTCTTCTTCAGTTTTTTTTTTTTTTTACTTCCCAAGTGGAAATTCTGACCAATCAAGAGCAGCTTTCAAGGCATTTGATGTAGTTCGCTTATAAATACTGCCGTGAGAAAACGAAGCAACTCTAGGCAATTATGCAACTTTGTCACAAAATGAATCTCTGATTTGGACCAAAGCAAGTAAACTCTAGGTCTGAAAGCACCCTAAGTAAATTAAAACACACTGTGATAATAAAACCTCTGCTTTGACTTTTGTTGTGTGCTATTAAGAGTTTTACTTGAGAAGAAAGTTTTGAGTAGGCCTACTTCTAGCTGCTAATAGCCTACCAACATTCTCAGTTAGAGAAAGGGGGGAAAATAAAGCAAGGCACTTTGCTTGGGGCCCCAGGCCCCCAAAACACTAAATCCATCCCTGGTGGTAAGGATAATTAAGGCACAGTAAAAAGCAGCTGAGGAAAGGAGAACAATGCGTCCCCGTATTAGTAAAGAATCCCATTTAAAGTCTGACTAAAACTGAAACTAAAACAAAGAAGTCACTTTTCACAGCTGAATGTTTGACTGTTAATTCAGACACTGAGGTGCTGTCTGGTGAGGCTTCACTGTGTTTGTCTGCCTCTCTCATACGCTGCGCGACCGGGTACTGTTCTGATCGATTGATCAGCGATCAGGGAGGTCCAGAAATGTTTTGGCAAAAACGTTTTCTTCCCCTGACCGAATAATGCATTTGCTTCACTTGTTCCATTGCTCAGGCGCCTATGAACTGTATGTCACATTATTGCTGTGGTGATATAGTATCCTCTTGAGACTGTCTGAAAGGCACACAGTCCAGTTTGAGACTCTGTCAGGACGAGGCAAGGTTTAAGCTGCTGTGCGCTGCTCTTCATCTGAGGTGGAATACCAAAACCTACTGAAAACACTTCTGATCAGATATGATACAGGATCATCCCGTATTGAATACTGAATCAGTAGCCTACATGACGCGGTCTGTCCATTATTTTCATGTACAGAACAGTTAGACTGAGAATAATCTTAAACAGTTTGTTCACATATTGGTTGGAACAATTCTGTCCTCCCAAGATACATGCAAACCTGCGTAACAGCTGAAGGCACTGAGATGAACATATCAACATTGGTATCAGCTTCGATCTTTTCGCATTTGGACTTTGGTGACTGGATCGTCAGTCAGCAATGTTCAGAGAGACTTCTAGAAGAAAATCAGCCTGGAAAAAATAGAAGTGCAGGAGCATGTCCCCCAGATGTTTCCTGCTGAAGCCCAACCCATCTCCCCTCGCAAGCATGTTGAAACCGCCTAAACGCTCAGGGGAGGAGCGAGAAACACAGACAGAGGCAGAGTCGGAGACAAAGAGTGTCAGACAGAAATACAGGAAAAAAGCACAGCATGTGAAGTTTTGGTAGATATAATTCACTCTGCAGCGGACACCCCACGTCGACATTGTAAGTGTTTTACAATCCTTTAACATTTACCTTAACATTGTATTTTAAAATAATCTGCTGTGCACATTCAAGTTCTGGTTTCCGGCCTGAATGATGAAATTCAAAGTCTAAAGCAGGAAGCAGGGAAGTGAGACAGAGAGAAAGAGCTGTGAAAGAATGAAGCAGAAAGAAAGCCACCCTAACTGAAGATACGCTCAGCTTCATTTGTGTCCCAGTGAAATCACTACTTAACCTGTTACTTTTCTCAGCAAAAACAGCAAAAGGAGAGTTTTCAAGTTGTAGAATTAAATTATTTTGCAATAATGTCAGCAGTTGGCTGAGGGCTTTTTGTTTCACAGCCTTGGTGATGAATGTCACCCTTGTACTGTATGTAGTCATGTGGATAGTTTGTGATTTAGTTGCTCTCAGGCTTGTATAATCCACCATCTGTCCCCAGCCAGAAACAGTGATGGTAATTAGAATTTTGTGAAATGGAATACTGGAGTACTGAAAAATTACACTTGAAAATTAAATGAATATATGAACCTGTAATTCTTTTTGCCGCTTGTCAAAAGTTTAAAATGGCACCAAATGCAACAGTAACGTTATAAATTTGTCTTTTTTTACAGTTCCTCTGAAGCAAAGAAATGAGTATCTTTCAAATTCCACCTTTCGACCTTACCACAGAATTACAAGTCCCAGTCCCCCCAACAGGAACACATCCTATAATACGACATATTCTTAACAACAACCTCAAGAAGCTCAAAACATTACTCAAGGACAACAGCATTGATGGTTTTTACCCATGCAGAGAGTGGAATGACTACATAACACCACTAATTGCTGCTGTTGTAAATCACAACAGAGATATTTTTACTTTCCTTTTGCAACAAGGTGCAGACCCAAACAAGGCTTCCCAAAATAACTTAACACCTTTGCATTATGTCTCAATATCCAAAGCACCACTCTTTTTTGTGGAGAAACTGCTTGAAGCAAAAGCTAATCCAAATGGATCGAGTGCCAGACAACGATTCACACCACTGCAAGCTGCTGCCATCAGTGACAGGGATGATGTCATGAAAGTGCTCATATCTGCTGGTGCACCGATACCACTGTTGCCTGTCACTGATCCTGAGCACAATATTCACAATGAAAAAATATCTCAGATGGTTCATAACCTTGCATCAAATGGAAATACGTTTTGCTCCAAGATCAGATATTTTTTGGATGTGGCAATTGCAGTGCGAGGGAAACCGCTCGAAGAAGTGTTCAAAACTTTTCACAGTCACATGCTGCTGGAGGATCCCCAGAACCGTCTTGCAATGATTGAAGTACTCTTTAATGTAAATGGGCTGGATGCAGAAAAATACCGCCAGGCAAGTATTAAATGGCTGAAGGACACTGGCAACCTGAACTCTTACGTTGCAGGTGCAGTCAGTCGTTTCCCAAACATTCCCCAGGATTATGTCGTTCACGCAGTTTCCAGTTTACATGCAGTTTTCTGCACAGTGGAAGACATACCAAATGAGCAGGCTTTGGCTATAATCCCCCATCTACTGAAACAGCTTGGCTCAAATAAGAGACATGATACATGTCAACTTGCTCTGCAAACACTATATGTGTTAACACAGAAGACAAAAGACACAAATGGCTGGGATCCCAACTTCGTTGAGAAGTTATGCCAAACAGTTGCTCCTTTTATAAAGGACCAGCACTCCTCTGACATCAGAGTCTTCACATACGGCATATTTGCAAACTTACTTTCAGTTAAACATGCGGCCAACATCTTTCCATCAGTGGGGATAACTTCAGTACCTGAGGACATACTGACATCTGCAGACATGAAAATGAATGACAAGCTGAAAGAGGTGCTCAGACGACTGAAAGATCACTTCAGCAAACCAAACTCAGAATGTGAAGACTCTAAAGCATCACCTGGATCCAAGAAAAAGAAGAAAAAGAAGAAGAAAAAGAGGGGAAAGACAGAAAAGCAAGAAAAAACAATCGATAAAGTTTGCACTGCCACAACTGATCAAACAGCAACTCCTGTCATGGACTCAACTTCAAATGTGCAGCCATTCCACATCAACACCACCATGTCATCAATAAAACACAAATGGCTACAAATCAGCAAGAGGTGGAGAGTACAACTGGAAAAACTTCTGAGCACTGATGAAAGTAAAGTCACCAGAGTTGGGAGCATGATTTATGTGAACAATGCAGAGTTCCGCATAGCGAAGGGAAGTGATGGCACTGAAGTTTTCTTGGGGCTGAGAGATGACGGCACTGAAGTTGCTATTAAGAAAATGACTAAATGCAACTATCAGGAGCTGAAGAATGAGGAAGGATTCCTGCGACTTCCAGAGCTGGATCATCCATCTATTGTGCGATATGTTGACATTGCAGAGGATGAGAACTTTGGATATCTTGGTCTTCAACTGTGTGAATACACCCTGGAAGAATGCATAAAAAATAAATATGATTGGCTGCTGAGGAAGAGTCTTGTGTATCAGTTCCTTGACAGTTTAAAGGTGCTTCATTGTCAAAGTCCTCCAATTCTCCACCGGGATCTCAAACCACAGAATGTTTTGATCGGTAAGACAAGTTCAAAATACACTGAAATGATGGATTCCACTGTCTGAAATTCAGGAAAAATCTTTATTATTGTACTTAATTTGTTTCCTGAGTTTATCCCCCTGATTTGTTCTGCAGATGTTAATGGGAGGGCAAGATTAGCTGATTTTGGCATAAGCAGACGTTTAGCCAAAGGACAAACAACTTATCGCACAGGCAGTGCAGGAACAAGATGCTGGATGGCCAAGGAAACTTTGGCAGATGATAGCGACATACCTTACAAGTCGAACACTGATATACAGGTCAGTTTTTCTGCTACACAAACTTCATTAATGACTTTGTGAAAAATACTAACTTAACTGGTAAAATATTTTTATTTTTAAGGTGGCAGGGATGCTCACTTATTATATCCTCTCTGGAGGACACCATCCTTTCGGTGACAAATCTCATAAATGCGAGAACAACATTGATGAGGGGAGGTACAGTTTGGACCATGTTCAAGATGTGGTAGCAAAAGATCTCATTGAGGGGATGATCCATGAAGAACCAAAGAACAGACCTAAAGTGGAGGAATGCTTGAGTCATCCATTCTTCTGGACCTCTGAAAGGTGAGAAAGAAATGGAAATTGATCATCAGTCATTTGGTAGTTCTACAACTTTGGTCCAGAATGAAATACTCTACAGTATTTATACATTTACTGGATAGAGTGGAACCAAATTTGGTACAAACATTCATGGTTCCTAGATGATGCACCTTAATGACTGGTGATCCACTGATGTTTCAACCAGCCCAGTAAACCCCGCAAAAGGTTGACATTTTGGTTAAGGATTAAATGTATTCATGCCTTTTCTCAATAGCCACACTTAAAGGCAGGCTGCTATTATAGCCTCATCCTGGCTGCATCCAAATGATTTAACAATCTCCAACAGTTCCATGTCTTTTGCATGTCTTTGTGGTCTCTATGCAATAAAGTGTGCAAACTGGGACAACTCCCACTAACAGTGTTATCTCAAAGGCATTCAAGGTGGACTTGAGAGGTTCCGCTTCCGGGTTGTGAAAGATGGCAGCTCAGGCTGAGACCTCTCGACAAAAAAGAAGTAATTACGCCCCAAAGTCAAACTCTAGAAGTGATACACTACACGTGAAATAGATGGTAAGCGGGCGATGATGGCGTCTAAAAGTAAGAACAAAAACGGGACGACAACCTGGGGGGCAGAGCAGCGCCGAGCTACAAGGAAAAGCTGCAAAGATTTAGGCACACGGAGAACTCAAATTGACATGCACAACTGAGAATGATGATGGAAAAGAGTCTGGCTGAGGCTGTTTCACGAAGAAATGAGCTAGACGCAACATACTGTATTCTGAGGATAAGTCGAGACAAGTCAGAGAGGAGAGACACTACATGGCTGGTAACACAGCAGAGGGCCCCTGGATCCAATCAGGATTTAGAAGTTATCCCTCATTTTGGAAGCAGGTCAATGAGTGGACCTCAAAGTTGAAGGTTTGGGAACTCAAACTGTTGAATGTTCATATATTTTGTTGTAGTTTTGCGGTGTTGTTCTGTTTTGTTGTTGAGAGGGGACTATTTGCTACTCATCAGAAAGGAGAGAGTGTTTCTACTTTTGTTAAACCAGAATGCAAAATGAACCAGTGAAGATAATTTCATTTAATGTAAATGGGGTCTTACACACATTAAAAAGGAGTAAGATTTTGTCAAAATTGAAAAAAGAAAAAGCCCACATAGCCTTCCTCCAGGAAACACACGAGTAAGAACGAGCATGATAAATTAAAAAGGATGGGCTTTCGACACGTATTTTCATCATCATATAAGGGAGGCCATAAGAGGGGAGTTGCCACTCTTATATCGAATACGCTCAACTATGAACATATATCAACGATGCAAGATGAGAGTGGAAGATTTGTTAAGACCACAGGAAGAACAGAAGGAATAGAAATAACTTTGATGAATGTTTATGCTCCACCAGGGAGCGAATGGATGTTTTACAGACACATTTTCAATTTAATGGTGGATTCCCAGGGAGTGGTAGTATGTGGGGGGGACTTCAACGTTAGGTTAAATCCCTCTTTGGACTCAACAGGACCAACTACACAAAAACAATGTTTGCTAAGAAGAGTAAAATCACTGATGGGGGAATTGGGTATAATAGATGTGTGGAGGGATTTGTACCCTACTAGCAAGGCATTCACACATTATTCTTATCCACATTCGACGTATTCAAGGTTGGATTATTTCTTCATGTTTGGGACAGATACATTTAAAGTAAGAGAGAGAGTATTGACATATCTGACCATAGTCCGATTTCCTTGTCCTTGAACTTAGAACCTTGCAAAATGGATATTAATACAACCAAAAACAGATAAGGAATTAAATTTGACCCTCTCTAAATTGAAGGCCAGAAAATCTCCAGGGTCCGACGGCTTTACCACAGAGTGGTAGAGGTCCTTTAAACCACAACTATCCCCACTACTACTTAGTGCATTCAACTGGACCCTACAGAAGGGAGAAATCCCTCCCTCCTGTCGGGAAGCAATCATCTCAGTTATCCCCAAAGAAAACGAAGACAAACAAGATTGCAGTAGCTACCGCCCTATCAGTATCCTGAACTTGGACTATAAAATATTTACTTCCATCCTAGCTCGCAGACTGGAAGAAATCATACCTGACCTCATTCATTTAGATTAGACAGGATTTATTCAACATAGACAAACTCTGGATGACATTAGAAGAACCTTACATATAATAGATCAGATAACCAAAAAAAAATCACATCATTGATAGTGGCTGGACGCAGAGAAAGCTTTCGACTCAGTGAGATGGAAATTTTTATACAGAGTGTTCGGAAAATTTGGCTTTCATGAAAGATTCATAAAAACCATTTGCACCCTATATGACAAACCCACAGCTCGAATTAAAATAAATGGGGACCTTTCTGACTCTTTTGGTCTGGAGAGGGGGACGAGGCAGGGTTGCCCCATCTCTCCCCTCCTCTTCGCCTTATTTATTGAGCCTCTAGGCCAACTGATCAGACAGTAATAAGAGCATCAAGGGAATAACAGTTGGGGTAACTGAACAGAAGGTGGCGCTATTCACGGACGACGTTTTGGTCTTTCTGGAGAAACCTGAGAAATCATTTACAGGACTGATGGAACTGCTAGCTGACTTTGGAAAACTTTCGAGGTACAAACTCAACATATCCAAAGCACAGGTCATGACACTAAATTTTACTGCCCCTAAAAGCATGCAGGAAAAATAAAATCTAAAATGGGAAGCAGAATCCATAATATACCTCGGAATAAATCGAACAAAAGATCCCTCAAAACTATCACAAGCCCAGGGCGTCGGTGGCTTAGTGGTAGAGCAGGGGCCCCATGTACAAGGCTGTTGCCACAGCAGCCCGGGTTCGAATCCAGCCTGTGGCCCTTTGCTGCATGTCATCTCCTCTCTCCTCCCCCCTTCACGCTTACCTGTCCTGTCCATTAAAGGCAAAATGGCCCAAAAAATATCTTAAAAAAAGAAAAAAAAAATTATCACGAGCCAATTATGAACCACTAACTTCAAAAATAAAGGCAGATATGCATAGGTGGAACCTTGTCCCTTTCCTAAATCTAAATTCGAGAATAAACGCGGTAAAAATGAATATTCTACCACGTTTATTATATATTTGTAGGACTTTGCCGGTTGAAGTGAGCGACAACCAATTTAAAGAATGGGATAAATGGATTTCCTGGTTTATTTGGCAAGGAAAGAAACCAAGGGTCCGATTTAATACCCTACAATTGGGAAAAGAGAGGGGGGGTATGGCACTTCCTGGCCTTAGAAACTGCTATCATGGCTCACAACTAATCCTTTTACTGTACTGGCTATACGAGGAATATAAGGCCAATTGGAAGGAAATAGAATTTAAATTAACCCCTAACTTTCCTCTCCAAGTCACAATCGCTGACAGGACTTGCAGCCAAATTAGAACAAGTGAAAAACCCCTGGATAAATTGCACATTAAAAATATGGCAGAAGGTGATTAAAACATGCGGAATCAACAATATGCTAAGACTTTTTAAGTGGTGCTCATATGATACACATTTTAAACCTAACAGAGGTGACAAAAGATTTGAGGTTTGGACAAAAAATGGACTCACAACTTATTTATCATTTATGCACAACGGGGAACTACAGAGCTTTCAGAACCTTCAGTCCAAACATGGCCTAGAGCAAAGTGACTTTTTCAGGTACCTCCAGCTGCGTGATTACTACAATCGAGAATGCAGTTCTAAAGACCTCTCAACAGCAGAATTGGAGCTCCTCAAAATCCTTAAAACGGCCTCAGACAGCACCCTGAGCAAAGCCATCTCAAAACTATACAACTTGATACTATATGCAAAAAATGAGAATACTTTATACATTAAAAATAAGTGGGAGAAAGAGACAGCAGTGAGGCTCACTGAGGAGGTTTGGGGCAAGATTTGCAAGTTTCAATCATCATCCACTAACTCCACAGACTGGAGAGAATACTGCTGGAAGAATATGATAAGGTATTTTAAAACTCCACAGCAGGGAAAGTATAGAGATACAGATTCAAAATGTTAGCGGCAGTGTGGCTCAACAGAAGCACACCATTTTCATATTTTCTGGGGATGCCCAAAACTGTACAGCTATTGGAGGGACGTTCATAATGTACTAAGTACAGTGTTTGATATTCAATTGCCCTTAAATTTTGAAGTCCTATACTTGGGTCATGTTCAGTGCTTGAAACAAAGGAGGGATACAAAGCTCCTGCAGGCCCTTTTAGCTGGTAGTAAAAAACCTGTTACTAGAAAACGGTTGAATCCAACACCACCAACATTAGAAGATTGGTACGGAATAATTCTGCAAATTTTTAAAATGGAAAAATTGACTTACTCTTTAAGAGTCCAAAAAGATAAATTCTATGATATTTGGAATAAATGGATTGAATTTGTAACCCCATCCCGAGCAGACTTCGTATAACCCCACTGGAAATTTCAAGTACTCTCTCACTTTTTGATTTGAAATGACGAGCTTGTAAACCCTCTCGGTTCTGATGTACATAGTTCTGTATTGAGTATGTTCACTGTGAGTATGTCAAATGAGATAATTACATGACAATGGGGGAGAGGGCAATGAAGAATATGGGGACAAGCCAACCTTGACCATGCAGAAGAGGATACAAAGCTGTTGGGGTCAACATATATTTATGCTTCACACGGAGGCACCAAATATGTTGGGATTTAATTGGCTATCAGAAAAAATTAAGAATTATTATTAATAATTAATAATTATGTTAAATAATGTGATTTAATTAACATTAAATCAACTCGTGCGGCACCATTCCCGTAAAGGGAAAAATGATAGCCAGTTAAAGATATCAGTCTCATAAAATAGGCTAAACTATTAATTTGGAGTTTTGATTAATAATTAAATTAATGACAACAACCAAAATTAACGGTAATGCCTGAAGGATTTCAGAGTTCTTGACGCAGCAGAGGTTGATAATTCATTCACTCTTGTGCAACATTAAACAGACAGCAGGCATGATTCCAAAGAATTATATTTATTCACAAACTAGCAAAGCAAACCAAAACACACAAATTCTAACTAACTATATACAAGCTTGGTGTGTATATGTGTGTATATGTGTGTGTGAGTGTGTGTGAGTGTGTGTGTGTGAGTGTGTGTGTGAGTGTGTGTGTGAGTGTGTGTGTGTGTGTGTGTGAGTGAGAGAGAGAGAGAGAGAGAGAGAGAGAGAGAGAGAGAGAGAAAGAAGAGAAAGAAAGACAAAGGCGGGTGTGGTGATCAAGGAGCCTTTGGCCTACAAAGCAAAATGGCTGACAACAGAGAACTACCAAAATGGCCGAATCAAGGCTGGCTTCAGGGGGAGGTGTTTGTCTGACCGTGTGGTCAGGACAAAGACAAAGGAAAAGAAGCGGGAACTTTGAGATGCCTGGTTGGGGTAGCTCTGGTGAAAGCCTATTTGTTAATGAGTCTATGTCAATGTGACGTATGTTGCAAACGGTCTGGATTAGTGCAGAGATTGTTTAGTTGTGTGCAAGAATCTGTTTGTGAACAGTATTAACAAACTAAACACTTAGCTGTGGCGAAGCCAACTAATCAATGACCTAACTGCAATCTATCACAATAACTCAGTGAACAGCATGAAATCACATACAGCAAGTTAACCAGTCTTGCTTAGCCTGTAAAGCTGTGATAAGCTATGCCCAGTTGTTACATTACCAGTCCTTGAATGGATGGAAGAAAGAGTCACTTGGTGGTGTGCTGCTTTGTTCGCCGGCAGAAGAAGGCTGGGAAGATGTGGTTTCAGCTGCAGTCTTTGTGGTGTCCTTTGTTCCAAAGGTTCTGATCCGAGGAAGCCAGTCGCTCGGGGTCCTTGCAGAGTTAGACGCTGGGTGCTAACTTACTTAGTTCTTTGTTGCTGGAAAGCTGGTTGCAAACCTTGTGTTTGCAACAGAGTCTGTGATCAGTTGCCCTCCCTTTAGTGGTTTGGACCTATGGAGCCAGGGTCTAGGCCTCTGGGCTGTTCCAGGCCCAGCCGGAGAGAGGTGTGAGCTGTTGAAGCTCCAGGGCAAGAAAAGAGAGAGATCTGTGGAAGGGAGCACAGATCTACAGATGCCTGTGACATCAGAGTCACATGTCCCTGTAAAGGTCTTGTCCAATCAAGTTTTGGGACTTGAGTCTCACTGAGGTGTGAGGTGAGATCACCTGTGGAGATGGGTGTCACATAGCTCTCTTTGTTTGGAGAACAAAGAGCATGCAGAGGAAAAAGCCTTTAAATCTACAGTTTAGATTTTACCAAATGATAAATCATCTGTGGTCCTGTGAATCCCAAGAAAGCCATGCTCCACGAGGTCTTTGATGGTCTTAAGTTAAGGCAGTAGCTCAGTCCATAGGGACTTGGGTTGGGAACCGGAGGGTCGCCTGTTCGAGTCCCCTATCGGACCAAATATGGAGCGTGGACTGGTGGCTGGAGAGGTGCCAGTTCACCTCCTGGGCACTGCCGAGGTGCCCTTGAGCAAGGCACCGAACCCCCCAACCGCTCGGGGCACCTCACCAAGGGCAGCCCCCTCACTCTGACATCTATCCACTTTGTGCATGTGTGTGTCTTTCGGACCTGTGTGTAATTGACAAGCAAGAGTGAATACATTGAATTTCCCCTCAGGGGATTAATAAAGTAAATAAAATTATAAACATACTCTTAGGAGCCTAATTACTACTCACAAGCGCATTTTTGTATTTCTTTTCATACAGAAAAACTGGAAAAGGACTCATGTGAATACGACTATCTGAATATTGTATGTTGTGAAGTCACCTTTTCTAATAAATGAACAATTAAAAAAAAGGCATTCATGGTGATTCACTGAGTTGTACATACACAAAGTAATGGAAGTAAAGTAGTTATGTGAGGACTGAAACAAGACTGAGAGTCTAACAGGATATGAGCGGTTCTGTGAGGTCGTTTTTAAAGGCACAGAGGTGCTGTCAGCTAAATAGTATCATCAGCATGCTATGGTTACAATGGCAATGGCAATGCTAACATGCTGATGCTAAGCAGGTGTAATGTTTACCATGGTCACCATCACTATAATCTGAAAGGTCTCCTTAATGTGTCATGCTAAGAAGATAATGAGCTGGGGAACAGAGGACCCTGGGAGCAAAGAACCATGGGAGAGTGCAGCAGTGTCAGCTTTGGTTTTGTAAACAGTGTACATCAGTCTAACACCTGCCTTCAGAAACTAGAGTTCAGGTGGGGGTATTGCACCAAGCAGAGTTACTCAGTTTGCCAGGTAACCTCCAAAAAAGCATGCAACAACTTGTCTGGACATTTGTTAATAAACCGCAATAATCAATACTCAATACTCAATACTACTAATTTTGGGTTCAGTTTCAGTAGCTTTCCCTTCATGGCCCAAAATTGTTTGTGGTTTCGAAAGTTAACTACACAAAAGTGGCAAATAAATAAGTAAATAACTGTGTGAATCAATATACAAATATGAATTACCGGCAAGCTACTGCAACTTGTTGTTAAACTACTAGTTTAATTACATGTAGTTTATGACTCCCCACAACACTGGAAATGATTTACCGAAAGTCAAGTTCTTCTTCTTCAATTGCTGTTATTTCCCAACATATTTCCATGGCGTCTCAGTACCACAATTTTTTATCAGTACGATATGACAAAATGGTTTACCTTGTTTATATTTTGTCAAACATGCACTCAAAATTAAATTTTATTTTTCAGGAAAGTTGAATACTTGATAAAGAGTGGAAACAGGAAGGAGGTTGAAAACTGTCGAAATGCTGACCAGGAACTGATCTCTTCACTGGAAAAATGTGCTGAGGATGGATCCTTCAAACAGTGGAAAGATCAGGTGACTGCAACATACGGCTTCATTCTTCATTTGGAACCTAACTAGTTTGTATTCCTGAGGTCCACTTCATTATCTGTAATCATAACTAAGATTTGGCATTACAGTTTCCACCACAGTTGGTCCAGAAGATGGATGGCAAGAAGAAACCCTATCCTGCAAACACACTGGGATTACTGCGCTTCATACGAAACCTCCATGAGCACTAGTAAGTCAGTTTTGCAGTTGTAACTTTTCATTCCTCTGAGCTCCACAAACAAAATCCCATTCACCTTCATTGTATTGGGCTGAAGATAAAAGATTGGGCAGATAAAAGTTAGAAAATATGCTCTGAAGACTGAGCCTGACAAGTTGTAGTTGTTGGTGTTGTTTCCCCACTGTTTCACTGATACCTTCGTGTGAGTTTAATCATGATTCTGAATTAAATGTCCAGCTTTTTACCTCCTTTGATACCAAAAGAGATAAATTAGATTAGATAATTCAAATTAGATGTTTGTCAAATATTTGTAAGCCGGGTGTTCATTATTACTTTATGTTAAAATATTTCTTTTGCTTGCAGTCAGGAGGATGCAGCCCAAGTTGATGTGATGAAGATGTTTCCTGATCTCTTTGGATGTGTTTACAAGTTTGCCAAGACCCGAGGGTGGAATTCAGAGACACCCTTAAAGCAACTGTTTCAAAGAGAAGACATCACCAACAGCTTCACAAAGCTGTCCATAAGTCCTGAGGAACATCTGACTGTCCCAGTTCAAGAGTCTCTCCCCAGTGACTTGAAAGTTGATAAGGACACAAGTTGAAATCAAAAAAGATCAAGGACTTCAAAGTCCTTTTTGACAGTTATAGTGTATCGCCCATATGTCAAGGTTTTAGCAGCACAGGGCAACAAGACAGCACAAAAAACAAGTGCCATGGGTCTTTTTCACACCTGACATTATCAGACTCATAAAAGGAAACGCACAGTTGTAACAAATAACATTAACAAAGGCTACCTTCTATTGAAGTGTCCCAGTAAGCCACGACAATGTGACCAACACCAGGACCCTGAAACTGAAGCAGCTGAATGGAACTCAGCCATCATTCATTTTATGATTTACACCTGTGCTTTTTCTTCTGTGACGTGTCAAAATGTCTTCTGTGAAATAAGCCTGTAAGGTTTTACATATCTATCGTACATAGTAACTATTTTCCAAAGGTTATAAGATACTGTGCAGTTGTTTAGTTTTAAGGGATTTTCTTTTTACTTTTGACTTATTTTGAGAAATTGTTCTTGACCATTAATATTATTATTAATGTTATTATGTTTGACTATTTTGTTTAGATTTTACTGCTGATATATTTTACCACTATAGTTATGTTTAACATTTTACAATTTAATGTTCTTTTATTCTTGCATATTTCTGTCATATTGCTACATTATTGATCTCTTTCACAAATAACTGCTGGGACAGATAGTGTTTTGTGTCATTTTAGTTTCTTGAGATGTTCTTGACTGTCCCATTGGCCTTGTCTCATTACCTTTGTGTCATGGCCTCTTAGAAGTACCATTGTTTCAGAAAGATTGTAAAAGGAACATTGAATGTTGAATGACAAGCTAAAAAATGTGTGTAAAACAAGGGCTGCAATTCCACTCCCTGTTTATCAAACAAATCTGAACAGATCTTTGCACTGACTTCAATTAAAGATGCAAAATGGTAATGGAATATACAAGCTTGACAACATGCAGATTCTTGTGTATGATTTTGCTTTGAGCATACTGAATGTTACTCTCAAAATATACTGTAAATCTAATCATAAGTATCAAAATAAATGTGTAAAGGTATGATTGTAACAAGTGTTTAATCATTCATTGATCATTATGATATAGTGGGGAATTTCTTTACTGCACCAATCAATATTTTTATGTTAATGTATCCAAGTATGTTAATGTGAAAGGGGTCACACATAATGACGAACCCACAGTAAATTCCAATGACTGCAGTCCCTCTCAGCTCATTTAAGTGTCTTTCAGCTTTTTGTTTTGGTTTTTGGGCACCAACTTTACTGTATTGGTTCAGTTTTGCTGCTCTCATCAACTCTGCCTGTTGATGAGAGCTATTTTCAGTGAAAAAGTTCTACAAAGTCACCGTACACTCACTGCTTACCCAGCATTGCAAATGAGTATTGTGATGAAAAAAAAAGCATAAATCAACAGGTCTATGGTCAGGCAGGGTGTGTTTGTGGCGATCAAGATGGCACCTTTCTCCACTGATGTTTCACTGAGTTGACCACCTCTCAAAGGCACAATGTTGTTCAGCTTCACTCCCCCTGAAATCAACCCCAGTCCTACATTACCACCATAATATTAAACACAGTGCTACTTTATACACTATCATCAGATGTGCATGTCTTTATTAGAGTTACATGCTCCAGTATTAAACAGCTGATACCCTGCCAAGTTCAGCAGACTTCATATTCACATTGTATGTGCTGAGTTTGACTGTGTTGGTTTGACTAACAGTTTCATCAGAATGTCACATCCGCCATCATAAACTAATATAGATTAAAGCTTCACCAATAAGGAGGAGTGTGGTGTGTAACTGAGACACCATATTCCCTCAGGAAATTTTGAGCATCAGCCACTTCATTTCCAGCATTCTGGTGAGGTTTTATGCACCAATTTATGCTGGAAATATCTTTATTTATGTGATGTAGGAGCCAAGTAAGTCATTTCACTCAGCAGACATTGGTTGTATTTACTATGTATATACACTGGGTGGTGCTGTTTTGGTATTTTGAGCTTGCTGTATAAAGGTAGGAAGGACATTGTTGCTGTCAGGTGTTTTGACTCTGGTCTTTATCTTTCATCCTGGTTTGGATGAAAGATAAAGAAATTGACATTTACTCATCCTATGTTTGCTGGTATGAATACATTCGATGGTTGTTCTGTAACTGGAGCCTGCAGCTCGTTTTCTGAGCGCAACACACCAAGGAAGCCGTGGCATCAACCAAGGCAAGCGTGTCAGCCAGGTCAGGCCTGTTGATACATCTCAGTAGCTGCAAGTAATAGACTTAGCTCCTACATGTAAAGCAAAGCATTCAGGCAATGCAATTCAAAATATAAGATAGGGTATAGAATATAATACAGTAAGGCTCTCAGGCATTCTGTCTCCTGCAGATCAACTTTTCTTATTTAATGTTATCTCTGCTGAGTCAACACGTGAAGGCTTAGTTTACTTTTCCAACCTACTTTGTGTCTTTCGTTTGGGAACAACATCTTTAAATATGCAAGTGGCACTTGTGCGGTTCGTTTGGGTTCAGGTGTGAACACAGCAATCGCACCATGTGCACCAAAACAACCGGACTGAGACCTTCTTGAAGAGGTGGTCTCGGTCCAGTTACAAACAAACTCTGGTGCGGTTTGAGAACGTGTTCCAACCTTGATCTGAACCAACTGCAGTCACATGACACATTGTTTGGGTTAAACATGAGCATGTTACAGTCCTGGAGGATTATTAATGTGCACCTCCTCCTGTACTGCCTTAATATGCACATTCAGCACATCCAATGCATCACAACATTGTTTTCTGGTTGGAGCCGCGCCTCGTTTTCAAACTGTATGGTTTGACTAAAATGAACAATGACAGCAATATAGTCCATGATGACCAGCGCTAAAATCAACCTGCGTAGTTGTCCCTCCATTGTGACAATAGAAAGTGTCACCGTTATCTTGCAAGTGTACTCTTTTTTTTTTTACTTCCCAAGTGGAAATTCTGACCAATCAAGAGCAGCTTTCAAGGCATTTGATGAAGTTCGCTTGTAAATACTGCCGTGAGAAAACGAAGCAACTCTAGGCAATTATGCAACTTTGTCACAAAATGAATCTCTGATTTGGACCAAAGCAAGTAAACTCTAGGTCTGAAAGCACCCTAAGTAAATTAAAACACACTGTGATAATAAAACCTCTGCTTTGACTTTTGTTGTGTGCTATTAAGAGTTTTACTTGAGAAGAAAGTTTTGAGTAGGCCTACTTCTAGCTGCTAATAGCCTACCAACATTCTCAGTTAGAGAAAGGGGGGAAAATAAAGCAAGGCACTTTGCTTGGGGCCCCAGGCCCCCAAAACACTAAATCCATCCCTGGTGGTAAGGATAATTAAGGCACAGTAAAAAGCAGCTGAGGAAAGGAGAACAATGCGTCCCCGTATTAGTAAAGAATCCCATTTAAAGTCTGACTAAAACTGAAACTAAAACAAAGAAGTCACTTTTCACAGCTGAATGTTTGACTGTTAATTCAGACACTGAGGTGCTGTCTGGTGAGGCTTCACTGTGTTTGTCTGCCTCTCTCATACGCTGCGCGACCGGGTACTGTTCTGATCGATTGATCAGCGATCAGGGAGGTCCAGAAATGTTTTGGCAAAAACGTTTTCTTCCCCTGACCGAATAATGCATTTGCTTCACTTGTTCCATTGCTCAGGCGCCTATGAACTGTATGTCACATTATTGCTGTGGTGATATAGTATCCTCTTGAGACTGTCTGAAAGGCACACAGTCCAGTTTGAGACTCTGTCAGGACGAGGCAAGGTTTAAGCTGCTGTGCGCTGCTCTTCATCTGAGGTGGAATACCAAAACCTACTGAAAACACTTCTGATCAGATATGATACAGGATCATCCCGTATTGAATACTGAATCAGTAGCCTACATGACGCGGTCTGTCCATTATTTTCATGTACAGAACAGTTAGACTGAGAATAATCTTAAACAGTTTGTTCACATATTGGTTGGAACAATTCTGTCCTCCCAAGATACATGCAAACCTGCGTAACAGCTGAAGGCACTGAGATGAACATATCAACATTGGTATCAGCTTCGATCTTTTCGCATTTGGACTTTGGTGACTGGATCGTCAGTCAGCAATGTTCAGAGAGACTTCTAGAAGAAAATCAGCCTGGAAAAAATAGAAGTGCAGGAGCATGTCCCCCAGATGTTTCCTGCTGAAGCCCAACCCATCTCCCCTCGCAAGCATGTTGAAACCGCCTAAACGCTCAGGGGAGGAGCGAGAAACACAGACAGAGGCAGAGTCGGAGACAAAGAGTGTCAGACAGAAATACAGGAAAAAAGCACAGCATGTGAAGTTTTGGTAGATATAATTCACTCTGCAGCGGACACCCCACGTTGACATTGTAAGTGTTTTACAATCCTTTAACATTTACCTTAACATTGTATTTTAAAATAATCTGCTGTGCACATTCAAGTTCTGGTTTCCGGCCTGAATGATGAAATTCAAAGTCTAAAGCAGGAAGCAGGGAAGTGAGACAGAGAGAAAGAGCTGTGAAAGAATGAAGCAGAAAGAAAGCCACCCTAACTGAAGATACGCTCAGCTTCATTTGTGTCCCAGTGAAATCACTACTTAACCTGTTACTTTTCTCAGCAAAAACAGCAAAAGGAGAGTTTTCAAGTTGTAGAATTAAATTATTTTGCAATAATGTCAGCAGTTGGCTGAGGGCTTTTTGTTTCACAGCCTTGGTGATGAATGTCACCCTTGTACTGTATGTAGTCATGTGGATAGTTTGTGATTTAGTTGCTCTCAGGCTTGTATCATCCACCATCTGTCCCCAGCCAGAAACAGTGATGGTAATTAGAATTTTGTGAAATGGAATACTGGAGTACTGAAAAATTACACTTGAAAATTAAATGAATATATATATATATGAACCTGTAATTATTTTTGCTGCTTGTCAAAAGTTTAAAATGGCACCAAATGCAACAGTAACGTTATAAATTTGTCTTTTTTTACAGTTCCTCTGAAGCAACCAAATGGACATCCTTCAAATTTCATCTGCCCCTTATACAGGAATCCAAATTGCAGTCCCCCCAATAGAAACACATCCCATAATACAGTGTATTATTAACAACAACCTCAAGAACCTAAAAAGAATACTAAAGGACTGCAACATTAATGACGTTTACCCATGCAGAGAGCTGAGTGACTACATAACCCCACTGATTGCTGCTGTTGTAAATCACAACAGAGATATTTTTACTTTCCTTTTACAACAAGGTGCAGACCCAAACGAGGGTTCCGAAAGAGGTTTAACACCTTTGCATTATGTCTCACTATCCAAAGCACCACTCCTTTTTGTGGAGAAACTGCTTGAAGCAAAAGCTAATCCAAATGGATCAAATCCCATAGAGCGACTCACACCACTGCAAACTGCTGCCATCAGTGACCGGGATGATGTCATGAAAGTGCTCATATCTGCTGGTGCACCGATACAATTTTTGCCTTTTATTGATCCCGAACATAATATTGACGATGAAAAAGTATCTCAGATAGCTCATAACCTTAGATTGCAAGGAGATTTCTTGAATATGGAAATTGCTGTGCAACAGAAATCCATTGAAGAAGTGTTCAAAACTTTTCACAGTCACATGCTGCTGGAGGATCCTCAGACCCATCTGACCATGATTGAAATACTTTTTAATGTAACTAGGCCAGATGAAGAAAAATACCGCCAGGGATGTGTTAAATGGCTGAAGGACACTGGAAACCTGAACTCCTACATTGCAGGTGCAGTCAGTCGTTTCCCAAACATTCCCCAGGATCGTGTAGTTCGCGCAATTTCCTGTTTACATGTAGTTTTCTGTATAGTGGAAGACATACCAAATGAGCAGGCTTTGGCTATAATCCCCCATCTACTGAAACAGCTTGGCTCAAATAAGAGACATGATACATGTCAACTTGCTTTGCAAACACTATATGTGTTAACACAGAAGACAAAAGACACAAATGGCTGGGATCCCAACTTTGTTGAAAAGTTATGCCAAACAGTTGCTCCTTTTATAAAGGAC